AACTGAAGATAGTTCAACAGGTCAGTAACTTGTAATCATAAATTTTCTCTTCTAAATAAATAATAATAAATGTCATTTATTGGTAAATACTAAAGGGCCATCGACTGAAGTCCTTCAGCCAGTGTACAATTTTTAAATATTTGCAGTCATTTTTACATATGCATACATAATAGATTTGAGGTACATTATATTTCTGACAAAAAAAAAATTATAAATTATGAGAGTGATTTGATGTTTTCCTAAATACATAATGCCTGTAGGGTCTGCAAGTTAGTTTCATTTTTAGCAAAGCGGTTGCCTAGGTCTGATAGTCTCTTCTTTACAGGCTTCACTTTTGTAATTCTATAAAGCAGTGCGTTTGAGGAATTGTGTAGTATGTTCTGAGGGTGACGCATTTTGGTAATACTCCTTAGTGTAGATGTTTCAGCTGTTTGGAGATCTTTTAACGCAGGAGGATTACGACAACTTGAATAAATTACATGTTCATATTCGAGAAGTGGACGACAGATCATATTATATATTTTAGTTGCAGTTTTAGTGTTGATTCCTCTTTTTTTTAAATGTCAGACTCCAAAAATGTTTTTCTCTATTGATGCATTTCTTTTCAATCATTTTTGTATGGCTGTTCAAGTTGATTTTGTGGTCAATTTTAACTCCCAAGTATTCTACTGATCGCCTGTTTTTTACCATTTCGTTGTTGAAGTTTATTGTTGGTAGCGTCTCGAAAGGGTTGTGATGAAGAATGGTGAATTGTGATTTTTCTGGATTTGGAATCTCCATTTATTGAACCAGAACGTTTTCCTGTCGACTTTGTAGGTTGTTTGAACTGTAATATCTCAGTCAATACTTAATCAGTTTAATCGAAATAGCAATTTTACACTAGTACCAACATAAGTCGATTAGTTCCGTTAGCATGAAAACTGTATGCTTGGATTCGATGAAGTCAACTAAAATCGTTTTTATCTAGTTCTGATTGGCGAATGTTCTACTGGTGAGAAAGTTGTTGAAGTGCTTGATAGTCAGCTGGAGAGAGTTCTGGGGAGTATGGTGGGTGTATGTTTCACATAAAAAAGGGTGGAAATTCAGAAAAAGGGAGACTGAAAGAAATAGAGGGTAAAAAAAGAGTGAGAGAGGTAAAATGAGGATGCAGATGTCATGAAAACAAAAAAATATTAGTCTTTGCATTATACGAGGATTGTCCTACAAGTATTCGACCCAACAAAGAAAACACAAAAATGTATAAAAAAATCATAGATAGATATTCATTTATTTCTACAGAATATATGTAAATCTTGCATACAACTCAAAAGAAATACTTTGTCCGAGAAATACGTCAGTGAAAATTACAAAAGAGTAATAAGATACAAAATTTGAATAAAACACGTCACATACACATATAATAGAGTCAATAAAAATAAAATTTAAAATAAACTGTTGAAATATTCATCTATAGTATAAGGCTCTGTATTACATAAACATTTTTTCACAGACTTCAGATAACTGCTGGCCATCTCAATGTCTCTTATATCCTGTGGGAGGGAGTTAAAAAATTGAATTGCACTGTAGACAGTACGTCTTTCATATATTCATTAAAATGTTTTATATTATTGCAGAATTTTATTTCAGCTAATTGGATACTTTCATTCAATAATATATTTTAATTTACTTACCCTATTTTTAAAATTGTCAGTTTCAAATGTGAAATGTCTACCTATATGTAATTTGTAACGTGTTTTATATTACTTTAATTTTAATCTATAAAACCCATGAATAATTTGAATTGAAATGCGGTACTCAAACGTTACACTAAGTTCGCATAATACGCGCCGTTGATAGTTCTACCTTTTCCAAGATAGTCAGTGAAAATTATTCCACGCGTATTCCAAAAAGCCGATGTCATGACCATGCCTCCAAATGAAACGGTCTTCACCTTCTTTGGAGCCGGTTCTCCCTTTTGAGTCTACTATTTTGATTGTTCTTTTGTCTCGGGAGTTCACGTTACACCGGACTTGAATTTTTTGAATGTCTATTGTTATCATTGTTACTCCATATAATAGTGTTATCGTCGGCAAATAAAGTAAATCATCCTTCGATGTCGATGGTTATTAGGTCATTTAAATATAATAAAAACAACATTTGCCCTAAAACAGACCCCTGAGGTACTCCATGTTTTATGTCACTGAGATCCGGCTGCCGACTTGATGTTTCCACCACCTGTCGACGTCCTGTCAAATATGAACCAAACCAGTTCAAATTTGTTTCTTTTATCCCATAATGGCTGAGCTTCTTCAGCAGTGTTTTATGATCAACGCAATCGAAAGCTTTTGAGAAATCATAAAACACTGCTGCAACCCTCTCCCTCTCCACAAAATAGGCAATTTGAATGAAATTGACAATTACAGGCAAATATCGCTGCTCTGTTCTTTATCCAAATTAATAGAAAATATAATAGTAAATAGAATAACCGATTACTTGGAAAGCAACAACATACTTTCAACTTCTCAGCACGGTTTTGTTGAAAAGAGATCCATTGAAACAGCTTCCTACCATCTTCTCGATTACATTCACACTCAGATTGATAAAAATAACTATCACTATTCTTTGACCTATCGAAGGCATTCGGTACGGTGTGCGTAGAATTTCTTATGAAAAAAATAAGACAATGTAATTTCTCATTTAACATCATGAAATGGATCAAATCCTACATGACGGGAAGAACTATGTATGTCTCTTGTAATAATGTACTTTCGGATTCTCATGCCGTAAAACTTGGTATACCTCAAGGATTTATTGCACAGTTAAGTATCTTCTGAAGATTTTATATTTTACTTTTTGAGCATATGTTAATTTTATTGCTTTTTGTGACATGTTCAAAAGTTGTAGCTTTGTTATGAACTAAATAAAAATTTGAATTTGAACTGCTGACATCACTTCTTCATCTTTGTAAAAGTTTGGGAACAGAAAATAATCCACATGGGCTAAATCTGATGAATAAGGTGCATGAGGTAGCAATTCAAACTTCAATTAGTTAATTTTGGTCGTTGCCATAATGGATTTGTGAGCTGGTGTATTGTCTTGATGAAACAACACTTTTTCTTAGCTTATGGGGTTCATCATCAGACCATTATTTGCCAGTCTGAAAATACTTCTTCTCTCTTGCTTGTATATTCTAGAAATATCTTCTTACATTTTTTAAAATGAAAAAAAGCATTAGCACTCATAGTAATTATCACAGTTATTCAACTACATTTAACCACCATCTAAAAATACCTCGAAATAATTTGAATGTAACTGTCAGGGGAGCTTTCTCCGATGGTGTAAGAATTTACAATAAGCTCCCGGAATCAATTAAAAAGGAAACTACTGACTTCAAATTCAGAAAGCATCGGAAAACTTTTCTGTTGTCGAAACTATTTTATATTATTGCAGAATTTTATTTCAGCTAATTGGATACTTTCATTCAATAATATATTTTAATTTACTTAC